GAAGCTGGTCTCTTCTTGCCTTGGGTGCTTGTAAAAGGGCCCCATTTGAATGTAGCGTCAACTCCGTGAGCTGATGTTGCAGTGGCTTGAGTGCTTCCACCATCTCTCGCGGTGTGGATTCACGTGAGCCCCCGGCAGTTTGGCGAGGTTCCAGCGTAAACTCCCTGTCGCCAGTGTTCAGGTCATCGGTCCAGCTAAACCAGAATTTCTTCACGTTCGGAAATCCGCGAATCAGCTCCTTCATTTCTGGACCAGTGAGGTTCGCCATCGTCAGCAAGAGTACCCTGACGGTGTCAAACCTGAGCCCAGAGACCGGGCCGTGAACGGTCTCGAGCCATAGAGAGTCGAGGTTTGGAGCCCACTCTGATAGCGGCTGGATGTTCTCAGCAGCTCCAAGGTTGTCGATGTTGAAGTCATGAAGCTTCTTCAGCAGGCGCGCTTTTCCGGTGGCCTTGGCTACCGATGAGAGTGTTTTGAAGAACGTGGCCTTGTTTCGCCTTTGATAGTAGACGGTGCGGACGTTGGGCGTATGCGCCATGATCATCTCCGTCAGAAACTGAGCGACTTTTCCTTTCGTTTCCTCCTGCATTTCCGAAGTCTCCACACGGTACACAGACGCTTCCTTCCAAGTCAGGGCCTTAGGTATCGGCACGTTCAAAGCCTCTGCAGCCGACACGAGATCCATGTGGTTGTCGCGTGTTCCACGGTACAGGTCGAGTGCCGGATAGGTTGAGATGTCCTTCACCTCGGCCGCCATCTCCGGGTTGGCCATGAAGCTGAGGAGCAGTGGGATGAAGGCCGTTAGGTGCGGTCCACCGTACATGTGCTGAGGGTTGATGAACTTGAATAGTTCAGCCACGGCCACGCTTCGCAGTCGCCTACACACGTGAGACAGCGCGAGGAGGCTTGGTTCGGCTCCGATCTCATAGTCTCCATCGTCTTCAATGTCGGGGATTTTGCTGGAGATCTGTCGAAGAATCTCCACAGGAAGCTTGTCAAGTCTCAGCTCTCCCATCGTGTGTTGACGCGATGATATTCTGATGAGATAGTAGTAATATCAATGATCGCCACATAAAGAAATGATTTATCGACAAATTTGCTTTCAGTTGTTCGTTCCTGAATTCACTTCCCAGTGAGCTTGCTGAGGTCGGTTTAGCGTGTGGCTGCCTGCGAGCCCCGCTGTTACTTAATCATGTCCACTGTCTCAATTGAACACCGAAGATTGAGGTCTGGAAAGAATTAGATTTCCAACCAAACGACATGAAGAGGTGATTCTAATGTGTTTTTTATTACGTAGCTAGTAGTTGAAATTTCGAGAGTGCCTGAAATTTCCATGACAATCTCTAGAAGGAAAAAGAAGAAAATGTGGACGGTGGGCAACGGCGGCGCGCAGACGAGAAGCTTCTTATGAGTACAGGCGCCTCATTGCTAACTGATGTGATGGCTATCTAGGTTGTGAACTTGAACAAGACGTTGTTGGACTGAAAAACGTTGATTTCTTCTAACGTACGAAGAACATTATGAGCATCATTGCTGTTAACTGTAACCACATTATTCTGGAACCTGGGCTTACGATACTCACAAACCCGGCTAAACAAATCAACTTCGACCATACTCATTAGCGACGACGTTGATGTCCTTTAGAACAGGCATTCTGGAAAGTTTCGACTATGAAAGCTCGGCAGAGTCTCTCAATATTCACTCAGGAAATCTGCGGTGCGTCACATGTAAGTTCCTCTTTATGGAAGTTGTAAAATTGAATGTGTTTTAGGAAACTGTCTGATGATGTCCTTTCTAGACATTACTGTTGCTGTGTATTGAAACCAAACCCTCTAGCCAAAACGCCTTGAACACCAAGTTCGCTCAGTATCCCCAAGGCCATTTGTACTATTCCCAGTCCTTTTCGACCTTCCAAGCGTCGCTCGGGTGTAAGCCAGCAGCAGCAAAGTCGCAACCACGGTGTCCCCATTTCCTCCTGAAGACCTCGCGCCCAGCTTCCGTCATCACGTCAATGCCTGTCTGAAAGCCATATGCGTCGTAATAGTAGGGCTCGCTCGGGTCCCCGCCTCGCTGGCCCACTTGCCATGTATTCCTTTCTCGCTCGGCGTGTTTGTGGTTGAACATATCCTGGCCGATACGGAAGAGCCGCTTGAAAGATGGAATCGGGTCACGAACTGTTGTGGTGACGTCTGCGCCATCGATCACGGCACCGTCGCCTGATTTCGGCGGCAGCTTAGCCAGAGTGTCCTCCAGTCCCCTAGCCGTCTTCTTCTTCAAATGGTCATCGGCTGCCTTTGGTACTGGTGGGTTGGGGTCGGTGAAGCTGAATCCATCTGGCACTTCTGTCTCCCGGTAAAGCATACGGAGGTCTTCGAGCACCGAGGCCACATCTTGGATAATCCCTGCCTTGGCGCTGAGCATGCTCCAACCCGCTTCCTCAAGTCGCCAGTGCATGTCGCAGTCCGTCATGTAGTACGGAATAAAGGTGTCCCAGCCGCCGACGTCATCGTAGGCTGTTGGGTTTACCAGCGCAAGATGATCATAGGCAAAGAACCTCGCGCCCCATTTCTTGTCTGTGTGGAGGGTATGATTGACCTCCTTCACCGCAAGATCATAGATGGTCTGGTACTCGGGAGTGTTGACGGGCCCTGAAAGTCCTTCTTCGCCTTCCTCGAGAGATAATACGAGCGAGTCCATATGACTCCAAAAGTAATACGGCCACTTCCTCTCCTTGCTGATCGATACAAAGTAATTCTGCAGCTGGGCAAAGTTGAGCAACACCGGCGTGCTAATGACATTGACGCCGAGCATGTGCAACTGCGTATGATTGAGGTATAGTGGGTTCTGCAGCGACAACCTGTTCAACGCGTTGGAATCATGGACGCCTGTGTTTTCCACCACGTATATTTGGTCCGCCGGCCAGCCCGCCGTGACGTATCCGACGACGGTCTGCAGCAACATTGGCCAGCTGCGCGTGAAGCCGATGAGCAATGGAGGAGCGATCGGGAGGTTGTACTTCTGGTACACGTTCGGTTCCTTCGGCTGGTTCCAGGAGGGCACCGGAGGCGGCTGCGACGACATGAGCATCGGGAAGGGGTCTTTGACGGGTGGAGGCGTCCATGTCGGTAATGGCTTGTATGTCGGCGTTTTCGGTACGTTCGTCTTTCCTTTCGTCGTCGCAGAACTCCTATCAGCGACGCTGGTGATAACGGTGTTACCGAGGTCCGTTTGCAGAAAGACAAACATGAGGCAAACGGCGAATGCGACGTATAAGAACGCGAAGTGCTGTCGGGATCTGGTGGATAGCAGCCTTGGGGCTGCTATGGATATCATGATGGTGTTAGGTATGAATTGTGATCGATAAAAGTGGTGGTCTGGTAAAAGTTGAGATGTAGGTCGTGGTGGTGGTGGTGGTGATGATGGATGTCGTGGTGATATCACGGGCCTGAGGTTGAAGGAGAGTCGGCGAATAAGCGACCACCCAGCTCTGTTTGCGAACTTTCTTTGTTTGCCACCGAAGGATCCAGGAAGGGAGCTTGCTGGGTCGAGGGCGGTGTCACAAAGTAATCGCCCAATGGATTGTTGTTTCTTGAATGTTTGCTTCGTATTGTTTGCGCGATGATTGGGAAATCACGACTCAGTTCTTGATGCTTCCCGTTTCCCGGTGCACAGCAGCGCGTCGCTGCCTTCTCAAGTCCCACGGCAGGCGGACTGTATTATTTCCCTCTTCCCACACGGTTGCGTCAGGTCGAATTGTTGTCGCAAGCTGGCGTGGCGCATTCATTCATCATTAAGTATTGGCGCTGACTGGAGTTGATACCCACACCTCACAGCCATTCGTTGTGGCTCATCTCGAAGTTGACGATTGGCATATAAAATCCGGGAATAACAACCATTGCCGAAATTTTCCAACGATGGGACGAACAGAACGGGAAACCAGCTCTACCTCAATTTTCCCATTGCCCATGGCCATAGCTTAATAGATTTCTGTGTGCAAACATGTCTTACCCGTTGGTGGGAGAGAGGCAAAGGACCAGCCCCAGAGCTAAGCATCATGTCAACGTCACCGCTCACGTACCTCTGAGCTCACCCAAGGCGCTAAATACAGACCACCAACCAGGATGACAGATGTTTCAAGCCCACCAAAGCGCCATCAAAAAGAGGACCAGCCAAAGCCACGCGTTTTTTGCAGGGCCCGTTTTGGCTCGGACCCGGTTGGTCGAACGGGTCGTGGGTTTGCTGCGCTTTGATGGGCAGGGGGCCGAACAACCGAGCACGCACCCGAACTGCAGGGATGAAGGGGAGCCTCAGCGGGTCGTCGGCGGACAAGCGCGAGGCCTAGTGGGCGCTCCCGTCTCAACTACGACAAAGCTTGGCTTTGGGGGCGAAACTGGGAGGCACCTGGTTTGCGTGGATCGACGATGGGATGTCCCCAGGCGGGATATTTCTAGGTTGTGGTCGTGGGAGGTCGTTGTGGCTTATGGCTTTGAGCTAACTGGGGTGCTGGGCCAGACTCTCGTTTGGACTTATCGTTTCCTTCAAAAACTGGGTTTTTTGTCGCCTCGCTGCCTGCATGATGCTAGTCTCAAGCAAGAACGAGGCAACATTACGGCGAGACAGGATATCGGCTGAGTTGGACATTGCAGCTCGCCAATCGCTGCTGAGCCGTGGCCCAGCTCGCGGTTCTTGACTGGAATGGCTCTGACGGGATGCTTGGCCAAAAGGATTGCCCCATCCGGACCAAATTGGCCGGACACCATTTCCCAAATGCCTGTGGCGGTCAGCTAGCGTTCAAAACAATGCTTAAGCTTAGCTGCAAGCTTCTCGAATGGAATGCGTACCTGAGAACGGGCGTAACTGAATGGCGTCTGTGAGTACATCTAGCCGTGTTCATTTGGCTTGGCCACGCGCGAAACCATGGTGCAGTAGAATGCGGCGGGGACTTTGGTGAAGGGTATCGTGGTTCTAAACATTAAAAATATAGCTAAGATGATGAGTCTCTATTCGTACATGTAACACAGCGGCGTGCCGCCCACGGTGTTCATCAGATCCTTGATCTTGACGGGCGTCGTCAACGGTGTCAGGTCAATCAGGTCGTCAACGCTGCCGTTGGGGCTTTTCGGATCATCTTGCAATGAAAAAGTGCCGAACACGCCCTGCCGATTAGCAAAGTCGAGGTTCTGCCAGATCCAGTAGACGCGATCGACCTGGGCTTGATGGACCCAGAAAGCGGGATCCCCAGGCGCGATCAATCCATCCGCGCCAGGATCGCCGCCGATAATGAAATGGCCTCCACCGTGGACACCCAGGGTGTTCGGGAAGAAGCGATCGTCGCCCTGTAAAAGCGGTGCGAAGGTCTCGATAGTCTGTTGTTGGGTGATAAGGTTTGTTGTATTTCGGAACGAACAGTATTTCGCTGCAACGCTCTTGTTCAGATCCCGCTTCAGACATCGCGGCAAGTCTTCTAGCGGATCAGTGACATTGAACGGCAAGTCGGTGCCATACTGTGCAAGTGCAGCTGGTCCAATATGTACCACCATCTTGGAGAAAGGTCCTGACTTGACACACCCGCCGCCAGACCCCGGCTCGAGGACGATGAGGTTGTTGGAGAAGGGCTGTCGGAGACGAAGGCCATCGTGGGGGATGAAGGCACCGTCACTGCCCAGGGAGGTCTCGGAGCCGTCGAATACCGGGGAGGCGGCGGGATCTTTGATGTCGAGACCCCATTCCCAGTATGGCAGTGCGCCTTTGTATGCGCATTCCGTTCGTAGCTTTTGTTCAAATGTCGCCAGGTAATACCGATGCCAAGCGAAGAATGAAGCCTGTGAGAGTTAGTGGGCTGAGTATTAATTGACAGAAAGAAACTTGACTTACGGTCAGATGTGTGTTTCTGAAACTTGTGTAATGTACGGCAACGAAATCATCGTAGAGCGACTTCGCCATCGGGACCCTCTTTGGATCCGACAACACGGGTTGCCTCATGATGCACTGAACAGCGGCGACGAATGACTTTCGTTCTGCTGTTGAAAGTGTCCTCCTGGAAGCCATGATCAGAATGAACAAGCCACTTTCTAAGAGCGATGTGGTAACACATGAACATACCATTCCTTCCTCATCAACACGTTGTTTCCATAACATGAATTGGTAACATTTCTGAAAGAAGGCCGATGATTCTGTTTTCGGATGTTGTCAAGCGCCCTTTTGTTGAGCTCCGCCAACGCCTTTCCGCTATCAATGTCGGCCGAAGTAAAGTTTCCTGAATCAGTCGAGTTCCCAAGTGGCGTACCAGTCGGGCCTGCTCGTGGTCTCCCAGTCGGTGTAAATGGTCGACGCGTCGGTGTCCTTGCGGACTGTCTTCCGTGTCGCCACGCCCGATGTCTTTCTGTCCCCGCACCAGGTCTGCCCGTTGGCGTGAAAGGCCGAAGCGATGATGAACTAGAAGGTGGACCCGCCTTTGGTCCTGCTTGAGGCCGTCCCGTGGGCACCAATGGCCGGGTTGTAAACGAACTTGCAGGTGGTGCTGCTGGACCTGCTAGTGGTAGACCTGTGGGTGTAAATGGCCGAAGAGTTGATGAACTTGGAGGTCCCGCATTAGGTGCTGCGAGAGGGAGACCTGTCGGCGTGAAAGGTCTTGGTGATGATGAACCTACGGGTGGCCCAGCGTTTGGTGCTGCCATAGGAAGCCCCGTGGGGGTAAATGGCTGAAGTGTTGATGAACTCCCTTGCTGTCCCCCATTGGGTCCTGCTAGAGGTCTTCCTGTAGGTGTGAAAGGTCGTTGTGATGACGAACTTCTCGGCTGTCCTCCATTTGGTCCTCCATTTGGTCCTCCATCTGGTCCTCCTAGAGGCCTTCCTGTGGGCGTGAAAGGCCGTACCGACGACGAGCTCGCAGGCGGCCCACCATTTGGTTCTCCTAGAGGTCTTCCTGTTGGTGTGAAAGGTCGCAGCGAGGATGAACTTGCAGGCTGCCCCCGGTTCGGTCCTCCAAGAGGTCGCCCTGACGGTGTGAAAGGTCGTAATGATGAGGGACTCGCAGCTGATCCATCGTTTGGTCCTGCTAAAGGTAGCCCTGTTGGCGTGAACGGCCGAAGTGATAAAGAGCTCGCCGCTGGTCCCGCTTCTGGCCCTGCTTCCGGCCGACCTGTTGGTGTGAATGGCCGAGTGCTTGGCGTATTCGGAGCAGGTCTCTTGTCCTTCCCTTGTGCTAGCGCAGAGGGGACCAACAAGATGTAGATGACCCCCAGAATCCAAGTCCAGCGCAAGATGCGAGCCATCACGCCGAAGACAATTCGATATCCCAAAAGGATCTAACAATAACGAACGGTGGTGACCAGATTACGATACATGCCCAAAGGCAGGCCCAGTCCAGGGCTTTCGACATGATATACGAAAACCCTCATCCGCCCATGCCATGTGGTAGCGCAGATCCATGGGACCACCAGGTTTCATCGACTAGAGATTGGCGAACTCTAGGGTCCTACCTTGAGTCGATGAGACAGAGGTTATTTTAGCATTGATGGTGGTGTTGACCCTGTTCACCAACGGGAGGATCAGAGACCTCCAGGGCTGCTAGGTAGGTCCTGGATCAAAGGTTGTTTATTGACTTTGACAGTGTCGAACCAGGGACCGTGCCTGGATGGGAGCTCTCTCCACACATACCAGATGTCAAGCGCACCGACACCAACGTGGTTGCCTCTATCATTTTCATGAAAAGCAACATCTTGCGTCTCGGCCGAGAATATGGGGGTCATCCCCGCTAATTTTCGGGACAGCTTCGTCGAATGCGTGTTGTACCGAATTGACTGAAGCTAGGAGGCAGTAGCAAAGAAGGGGACAGGTAGGAATTTGATAAACGCAACCTTATGGAGGCAAATGATGCGCTTGACGACCTGTGGACTAGCAATTGGAGGCTCAGAGCTAGAACATTAGTCTTTGTATCTGACTAAGACAACGACACCACAGCGACTGGGCGAGATACCGTTTGGCTTCGACCATCGCATAGAACATGCGACGAAGAGCCTCAATAGTCCTAACAAAATAGGCGAAGGCAACAACCTTCCCGCTCGGTAGCACGACATTGCGGGCAAAATGGAAAACATAACAGTTACCTACCCAAGTCTTCGAGTCATGAGAGCTATGTGGTGGGAATTTGGACATTGGCTTTGAAGCTAGAAGGTCAACTGCAGGTCGAGTCGAAGTCAAAGGGTAGATCAAAAGTGTAGTTCATAAGCTTACTCCACAGTTCGACACTTGGCTGAGCCTGAGATGTCAGCTCCGGGTCACAGCAGATGACATGTCTCGGGCCCAGATGCACGGAAGACTTCCAGAACGGGCCTCGCCCAAACTCCTGGGCTCAACCGTTTGGTCAGACCATGTGTCCTGGAGGGCTTGAGAGGCGGCGTCATTATCTCAACGCGATCTAGGGACGAGAATGTGGTTTGGATCATCGTGGTTGGGTAAGCCAGTCGGCGGGATCGAATAATCAAAGAGGGACGAAATCTCTCAGTGACTGAAGTAGCGGCAAAAAGTCTCCTCGTTTCTATGCTGAACATGACTCCAAAGTCAAGTCTCGCAACACCGGGGAGCGGTCCGGCTGCCCAGGCTCGAAGCTTTTAGCGGTTTGCCGCCTGGATGACCCCTTCGAAGGACATCCAGATGTTGGGCCGAGGCTGTCGAGATTACGATGTGATAACGCATACTTAGAATGCATACATTTGGTGTACATGATGGATGCATCAAAGTGAAGACCGGGATGGAGTTGGTTGTTTGCTCATCAAGGTTGTGCGAGATGTGAGCTCTTCCTTCCAGCGCATTCGCCTCGAAATGACAGCAGCTTGCCCCACTTACCCAACGCAACCAGCGCTCTCTCGGCTAATCCTTAGCGCCATTTAGCGTGTAAGCCCCCAGAGCAACAGCGGTGATTCATTTTTCGTCACTGAAATTCGACTCGCTGTTGACTCATCACAGCGCACGGGCCCCGGTCATTGGCCGATGAGTCGATAAACCCCGCCACCGCCGATAAGATAAAAAATTCGAAAATCCCGGCTGTCGAGATGGAGGGGCAGAGGGGTAAACAATTTCTCGAGCACACTCGCGACAACACCAAGCCAGCGGCCGCGCCATCACCAGCCGCAACATAGCCAAGACCCGAGCAACTGGACTGCGATCAACAGACACTCTCGAATCGCCCAGCATGGCTTCCAACGAGTCTCCCGCCGCTCCCCACGAGCCCCCTTACACATACCGCCCGAACCAGGGCTACGAACAGACCGAGGAAGTCCCGGCCGAGCTGAAGAACGTGTCCCGCGACGCCCCGGCGGCCGACGATGATGCCGAAGATGACATGGAAGACATCTTTGGAGAGGACGACGACGTTCCCAACGACGAGTGGGCGGGAGATGCCGGCGACTTGACGAAGTCGTACAACCGCCAGCGCATGTTCAACAGCAACAGCAACGGCGACGGCGGCGCGGCGCTGCCTCGCTCCAACGCCCAGCGACCGACGGCAAACACCTTCGCCAGCGTCGATGACCAGATCACCGCCCTCTCGAAGCACGCTGCCAAGATCAGGCTCGACAGCGTCAAGGGCCGCGATGACGATGAGAAGACAAAAGACAAGGCGGACCGCGCGACGAGCGAGCAGGTGCTGGACCAGCGCACGCGCATGATTCTGCTGCAGATGATCAACCGTGGCGTGGTCAGCGAGATCCACGGCGCCATCAGCACCGGAAAGGAGGCCAACGTCTACCATGCCGTGCTGCACCCCGAAGACGATGGGCCGACGGTCCAGCGCGCCATCAAGGTGTACAAGACGGCGATTCTGGTGTTCAAGGACCGTGAGAGGTACATCACGGGCGAGCACCGTTTCCAAAAGGGTTTCGACAAGAGCAGCAACAGAAGCATGGTCAAGCTGTGGGCTGAGAAAGAGTTCCGCAACCTAAGGAGAATACACGCTGCCGGCATTCCTTGCCCGGAGCCCATCAGCCTGAAGCTGCATGTTTTGGCGATGGGTTTCTTGGGTGACCGCAAGGGATGGGCGTACCCTCGCCTGAGAGACGCCAAGTTGGCTGGAGATGACGTTGATGAGCAGTGGAGAGGACTGTACATCCAGCTCCTGGGTCTGTACCGCAGGATATACCAGGTCTGCAGGCTCGTCCACGCCGATTTGAGCGAGTACAACATTCTCTACAACGACAACAAGCTGTACATCATCGATGTCTCTCAGAGTGTCGAGCCCGACCACCCTCGCGCGTTGGAGTTCCTGCGTATGGATATCAAGAACGTCGGTGACTTCTTCAGGAGGAAGGGCGTTGACACTCTGTCCGACCGCGCCATCTTCGACTTCATCACAGCGACGGAGGGCCCTGTCGAGGAGCCTGCTCTGGCTGAGGCCGTCGAGAAGATCTACCAGAGCAGACCCGCCGACGAGGACGAGGCTGCCGCGGAGGTCGAGGTTGACAACGAGGTCTTCCGTAAGCAGTACATCCCCCAGACCCTGGAACAGGTCTACGACATCGAGAAGGACGGTGCCAAGATTGGGCAGGGCGAGGGTGATAAGCTCGTCTACAAGAACCTGCTCGCTGACACCGTTGTTAAGGAGAACGAGGAGCAGGACGAAGAGGAGGGGTCCGAGGATGAATCTGGCAGCGGAGCGTCTCTTGGCAGCGATGATGACGAGGAGGGCGACTCGAAGTTCGACAAAGGCAGGCCTAGAGGGCGCAAGCACGAGGACAAGGACGAGAAGAAGGTACGTTGCTGCTCGAGCTTTGGGACTGAGCCATTACTAACATAAGGCAGGCACACAAGCTGGCGGTCAAGGAAGCCAAGCGCGAGAAGCGCAAGGACAAGATGCCCAAGAGCATGAAGAAGAAGCTGGTGTCGTCCTCTTCCAGGAAGAAGCACTAAGCCATTCGCCTTGATATACGAGACCGGCCAACCGTGTCAGAAAGCCTCGGGACGGAGACATGCTTGCAATCGGATGATGAGACTCGATCGGCCATGGACGACCGGCGTGCTGTGTTTCGCACACCTGCGTAACCGCCGTTGGCCCGTTGTGAATGGCTCTAGACAGCCTTTCGGCATCATGATGATCAAAGAGAGCCCTGACGATTGCAATTTCTGCTGTGGTAGCAGTGTATCAGAGATGCCGGATTATGACGGATAGCTCAGATACCAAGATAGACCCAGCGGAATAACAAAAGCGTGTACTTCGCCAATCTCATTGTTCTCAATCTTTCGTGATACGTCTAACGTCCCGCCCGACCCATTTTCCAGGCAGCCCCTTCCTCAGACGGAAGTTGCAAAGGCTGGGGATGCTCCTTCCTGCACATCACGACAGGAGTGCAGGACGAGGAGGGTACCTGCCGCGCCTCCCCCTTCATGCTCTTTCCTTCCCAAGGCAGGATCTTCCTCCCATCGGTGCCCCTCCCGGTATAAAATTCCTCACATCAACCGCCTTCCATCGATTCTGCTCCAAAGCTTCAACACCATCACCGCCGAGGTTGAGACATCTCTCGCTCGTTCCGCTCCCACGACCACCATTCCCCATTCATTTCGCGATCGTCTTATCACTCACACTCACTCAGTCCTTCCGCAATTCAACATGTCCCTCTTTCTGTTCTTCCAGCTACTGCTGGCTTCCCTCGTAGCTGCCCAGACCAACCACATCATCCATGGATTCGAGTACTACGGCTGCGTCAACATCACCTCGGACCAGTTCAGCGCCTTCGTCAACTTCCCCGCAGGCTTCACCCCCGAGCAGTGCGAGTCTGCCTGTACCGGCTTCGACTACGCTGCCGCATTCCCTGAGTATGTTTCCGTCATTGCCGTCAAGGATTCCCCGCTGACATTTCCTGTGCTTGGTAGTGGCTGTCGCTGTGGACGCAATATCGCGAGCCTCCCCAAGGTGGACGAGGCCATCTGTTCCAATCCTTGCGGCGGCAACACCTTCTATGGCTTCTGCGGCTTCAGCGATGCAACTTGCAGCTATGCCAACGTCTACCAGGCCTGCGACGACTTTCCCTCTGACCCCAACACTCCTGCTCCCAGCTCACCTGGCTCTCCTTACCCTCCCGGTTCGAACCCTCCCGGTGCTAGTCCGTCTGGGTCCAACACGCTCTTTTCCTACCCTCCTGTCTCCTACTTCTCTGCCCTTGCTACCCCTTCGACTGCGTCCACCACTTACCTGACCGTTCGTCTTCCGACCGTTACCCGTACCCTCAAGTTGGCTACCAAGTCTACAGAGGTTGTGGTTCACACGGTCCCGCCCGGCGGT